CTGACCCTGAGCTTTTCATTGAAGGCTAACACTCTACCACTTTGAGCCACAGGGCCACTTCTGGTTTTCTGGGGGTTAATTAGAGATTAGAGTCTTATGTACTTTCCTGTCTGGACTGGCTTTAAACCATGATCCCCATGTGCCGGGTGCTGGTGGCTCATGCCTGTAATCCTAGCTACTCAGGAGGCTGAGATCTGAGGATCGCGGTTCAAAGCCAGCCCGGGCAAGAGAGACCGTGAGACTCCTATCTCCAATAAACCACCAGAAAACCGGAAGTGGTGCTGTAGCTCAAGTGGTAGAGTGCTCGCCTTGAGCTGAAGAGCTGAGGGACAGCGCCCAGGCCCAGAGCTCAAGCCCCACGACCGACAAAAAAAAAACAAAAAAAAAAAAACCATGATCCCCAGATCTCAACCTCCTGCTTAGCTAGGATTACAGGCGTGAACCACCAGCAACTAGCTCTTTGTAACCTTTTTTTTTTTTGGTGGGTCATGGGGCTTGAACTCTGGGCCTGGGCGCTGTCCCTGCGCTCTTCAGCTCAAGGCGAGCGCTCTACCACTTGAGCTACAGCGCCACTTCCAGTTTTCCAGTGGTTTATTGGAGATAGGAGTCATTCTTTTCTGCCAGGACTGGCTTTGAACTGAGATCCTCATATCGCAGCCTCCTGAGTAGAGTAGCTAGGATTATAGGCATGAGTCACCGGCGCCCGGCTCTTTGTAACTTTTTAAAATGTAATCTCAGTACTCAGGAGGCTAAGGCAAAAAGATCAAAAGTTCAAAGTATGATGCCCAGTGTCAGTGACTCACGCCTGTATTCCTAGCTAATCAGGAGGCTGAGCTCTGAGGACTGCAGTTCAAAGCCAGCCTGGGCAGGAAAGTCCATGAGACTCTTATCTCCAATTAACCACCAGAAAAATGGCACTGTGGCTTAAGTAGTAGAGCACTCACCTTGAGCTGAAGAGCTGAGGGACAGCGCCCAGGCCCAGAGTTCAAGCTCCAAGACTGACAAAGAAAAAAAATTCAAAGTATGTTAAATAAGGATGAAATTTTACTAAGAAAAAATGAAGACATTATGCTAAGGGAAATCACAAATATCATTGGATGTAGACATAGAATCAATGTTCAAAGCCAGCCAGGGAAAAGAGATAAGACCCTATTCTCACCGGGAGCGAGGTGTAGTGGTACATGTCTGTAATCCCAGCTAGGTAGAAACACAGGTAAGATAATTATGATAGCTACTGACGCTGGGGGGGAAATATGTGAAATATGTGAAAAATAAGCTAACACAAAAAGGGCTAGAAAGTGGCCTGAGCACAAGGCCCTGAGTTTAAACTCCAATGCTACCAACAATTAAACAAACGCATGCACTACGATTCCATTCATATGGGACACCTAGAAGAGACAAGGTCACACAGACAGAAAATAGATCACAGTTGACAAGGACAAAGTCCATGTGGGGGGTTAAGGCCTCAAGGCCAGCTGCCAGCCACCAGCCCCAACACCAGCCCCCGGGGATGGGGGGACAGCTCTCTAGCCAAGGTGTGTGCTGGGAAAGGGAAGAGGGTAAAGAGACAGAGCTAGGGACTGGGAGAGGCTGGGGGCAGAGACCAGTGTGCAGGAAGGAGCAGGGTGAGAAGGGGCAGAGTGGAGAACAGACAGGCTGCGCGGAGAAAGCCACCAGCCCTGGTGGGTGGGTGGATGGTGAAGTGCAGTTCCATTTGCCCTGGGCCCAGCGCCGGGGGCTCCAGGATCTCCCTAGATTCTCCAGAGAGCCTGCAGCAGTCCCTCTGCAGCCCCACCACCGACGGCTCTCCTCCGATAGGATGTGGGCCAGATAACAGCTCTTCAAGCAGAAAGTGGCGCTGCGAGGAGGGAGAACAGGGCCCACTGGCTTCACTGGCCAGAAGGAGGGCAGCGCATCATTGGAGGGGGGGGAGCCCAAGACAATGACCTGACTTTGGTGGGAAGGGAGGGAGGGAGGAGGCAGGACACTGGAGTGTGAGCAAGGCTCAGAGGACCCAGAAGCCCTGCTGGCTCCGAGCCTCGGCCTCTCAACCTGGCAAACAGTAGCAGTTTTCAGGGTTTTTGAATTTAGAATTTTGTCCCCCAAAATGTTTAGAATGAAAACATTGCTCGGTCACCTTCTCACGTCTCTGGGGTCTGACTTGCAGCTCTGACTGTGACGCTGGCAGGCAGCACACTGGCAGGGCGTCTGGGTGGATTTCTTGGGAGCAGTAACTCTGTTACTGTTGAGGGTGATGTTGAGGGAGACAAGCCAAGGGCCCGGTGCGTGCTCTCATGGGACACCCTCGGCATTGTGGCCAGATGACAGGACCTCTGCCCCCACCATGCCTTCATCCACTTCCTAAGCTCTTCTACACACACCCACACACCGTACTTCCCTCACACAACTTCTTAGCCTGCTTACACAAGTGAAGTTTAGCACTTCGGTGATGCCAGCAGACAATAACCCGGGCAGCTTCCACAGAACTGCGGGGAGGTACTCCATCCACACAGCAGCTGGTGTCACAGAAGCTTCCTGTCACTACTGCCACGGGAGCCCACAACGGGGCCCCCTCCGGCTACCACTGAGCAAGACAGGGCGCAGGGAGGGCTCAAACCGTGATGACCGCACTTCGCTGTCCGTTCTCTGGGACGTTAGTCTGGCCAAGTCCTTGGGGGCATTCCACTTCCCATCACATCCCCATTCCCGCATGTTTTGTAAAAGGTCACATCTGGGTCAGAGTGAAAGTTGTAAACACCAAGATACAACTTAGGTAACTTTCAGCAGCTCACAACCTGGAACTTCAGATACACTGTGCCCAAGTGTAATCAAACGCACACTAGAAGTCCCCCAGCCCACACTGAAATCCCTGGCAGAAACGGCTGTCTTTGAGCAGGCCATTCATCTGGCCACGTGTCTTCAGTCGGAGATCAACTCCCAGCTGTCCCGGGAGACACAAGGATCAGAGGTTCTGAGTGCAAGCTCTACTTCCAGAACCAAACATAAAATGAAAAAGCAGAAAGTGGGAACAGCAAACCAGGTGTCTGTGGCTCCTGCTGCTCTGGAGGCTGAGATCCAAGAACCCAAGTTCAAAGCCAGCCTGGGCATGAGTCCACAGGATTCTGACCAGTTGAGCAGAGAACCTCGGGGCGGCCACGGGGCCACGGCCTGACCTCCAGCCCTGCTCAGCATGGCCGGCCAGGGAAGTTCTCACGCTCTGGACCCACGGACCTGAGGACCCCCACGCCACTCTCCATGCTCAACACGGAAGGAGCAGCGTCTGGCCCGCCACCCTCCACACCAGATGTGGGGTGCTGCGCCCATACCCTGGCCATGCGCTGGCGTTTCCTCAAACTTCTCCCATGAGACAGAGCCCTCCATCCTCCGCCCCCCAGGACACAGGGGCCCTCCGCCCACTACCCCACAGGACACGACGGGGCCCTCCATCCACTGCCCCACAGGACACAGGACCCTGTATCCCAGACACCACAGGGCACAGAGCCACTCTATCCCAGGCCCCACAGGGCACAGGGACTCTGTATCTTGTACCCCACAGGACCGGGGCCCCTCTATCCCAGCCCCACAGGACCCGGGGCCCCTCTATTCCAGCCCCACAGGACCGGGGCCCCTCTATCCCAGCCCCACAGGACACGGGCCCCTCTATCCCAGCCCCACAGGACCCGGGGCCCCTCTATCCCAGCCCCACAGGATCCGGGCCCCTCTATGCCGGCCCCACAGGACACAGGCCCCTCTATCCTGTGCCCCACGGGACACGGGCCCCTCTATCTGTGCCCCACGGGACGGGGGCCCCTCTATCCCAGGCCCCACAGGACCCGGGCCCCTCTATCCTGTGCCCCACGGGACATGGGCCCCTCTATCCCAGGCCCCACGGGACACAGATCCCTCTATCCCAGCCCCACGGGACACGGGCCCCTCTATCCCAGGCCCCACGGGACACGGATCCCTCTATCCCAGCCCCACGGGACCCGGTCCCTCTATCCCAGGCCCCACGGGACATAGGGCCTCCATCCCGGGCCCCACGGGACACGGATCCCTCTATCGCGGGCCCCATGGAACACGGGCCCTCCATCCCGTGCCCCACAGGACACAGGGACCCTATCCCGGGCCCCACAGGTCACGGGCCGCTCAATCCCAGGCCCCACGGGACACGGGGCCTCCATCCCGGGCCCCACGGGACCCGGGGCCTCCATCCCGGGCCCGGGCCCCACGGCCGGGAGAGGACGGTGGAGAGCCGCGCTGCTCGGCAGGAAAACCCGGCCACCGTGGTGAGACCCGGCCGGGCCGGCCCGGGGTCCGAGCGCACCACCGACGTCAGATCCTCCGGCCGGCTCCGGCCTTCTAACTTGCGAGCGCCGGCGGCGGCCCGGGCGGCGCGTCGGGCCGGCTCCCTCCGAGCCGCCGCACTCGGCGCGCGGGGCAGCGGACCGCAGGCCTCCGCGGGCAGCCCGGGGCGGCCGGGCTCCGCACGCGCCCCCGGTGCGCGGCGGCGGGCGCTCGGGGACCCCGGGACCCCGGCGCCATCTTCGCGCCCCGCCCGCCGCCCCCCTCCCCCGCCGGCCCGCGCGCCCCCGTCCCGCCCGCGCGCCCCCGCCGGCCCGCCGCCCGCGCAGGGCCGCGCGCCGCGCTCCGGGAGGGACGGTTGGGGCGCGCGCCGCGAGCGGGCCCGGCGCGGCGGCCGCGGCGCCTTCCAGAAATTTCCGCGTCCCTGAGCCCACACAGGAAAACAAGCCGGGCGCGCCCCCGCGCCGCGGAGGACGGCGCCCCCTCCCCCTCCGCTCCCCTCCCCCGCTCCCGCCCCCGCCCCGGGCGCGGGTCAAGTGCGGCCCCGGGCGCCGCCCGCCCATCCGCCCGCCCGCCCGCCCGCTCGCTCGGCCCGCGGCGGCTGCGGCGGCAGCGCCGGCCGCGGCCGGTGTGATTGATAGGGACGGCGGCGGCGAGAGCGGCGGCGGCGGCGGCGGAGCGGTTGAGTGACAGCTTACCTGGGTGCCAATCTTCATCACACTGACAAGCGGCTGCAGCAATCGGGACCCGCAGTGCCGCGCCCGCGTCCAACCGTCACGCCGACGCTGGGCCACGCGACACAGCCTTGCTCAATGGGAGGAGGGCGACGCCGACGCGCGCTGCATCAATATTCACCGGGGGGGCGTGGCCTGCCCGGCACGGGCTCCGCCCCCGCCCTGCGCGGCGGCGGGCGTGGGGCGGGGCGGCGGCAAGGCGGGGGCGAGGCCATGGGCGGGGCGAGGCCGTGGGCGGGGCGGGGGACGGCCCCGCCCCTCCTCGCGCCCGCAACCAGGCCCCGCCCTGACGGCCGAGCTCGGGCGCGAGGAGCGGCGGCCCCGCCCCTGAGGCTGAGCTTCCCGCCTCATGACTATGCAGTGAGGGCGTGGTTTCGCGCCGCCACGCCCCCTCCCGGGCCCTGCGCCGCGGAGTGGAGGCTTGGGTTGCCACCATGTGGTGCCGGCGGGGAGGTCGGGCCGTACCACCTGGGCCGGTGTGGCGTCCAGTGTGGGTGCCGGCGCGCTGCCGCCTCACCGCCTCGGCGCCGGGGCTCCGGGCCCGCGTGGCCCCGGCTCCCGTCGGCTCGGGAGGACCGCCCGCGCCGGCCTGGCGGTGGGCGGACGCCCCGGGCGCGCGGGCCCCCGAGCCCACGGCCTGAGGAGGGCGGCCCACGCCGCCGCACTGAGCCCGGGCCGCCCGGGGCGCTCGGCTTCGGGGAGAAGGCCCAGGCCGGCCCCGCTCGCCCGAGGTGGAAGGTCGGCGCGGTGGGAGCGCGGGCCCGCCCTGCCGCCCTACGCCCAGGAGGCCGCGACCCGAGGACTGAGCTCGAAGCCGGCCGCGGCAGGCAAGTCTAGGAGACTCTTCCCTCCAGTTAGCCAGCAAAAGGAAGAGGCCGGAAGGGAGCTGGGGCTCAGCCTCGAGTGAGGAAGCTCAGGGACATGCGCGCCCAGGCCCAGCACTGGAAAAGAAAGAGTGACCAGAGCGAGAAAGAAAGAAAGGGAGAGAGAGAGAGGAAGAATGGGAAGAAAGTGTCAAAGCAGTGACTGCAGAAGGTGAAAGCAGAGGGGCTGGGAAGGCGGCTCAGTGGTAGAGCGCTTGCCTCGCATGCCTGAGGCCCTGGGTTCGATTCCTCAGCACCACATAAGAAAAAAGAAAAAAGCCGGAAGTGGCGCTGTGGCTCAAGTGGTAGAGCGCTAGCCTTGAGCTGAAGAGCTGAGAGACAGCGCCCAGGCCCAGAGTACGGAAGTGGCATTGTGGCTCAAGTGGTAGAGCGCTAGCCTTGAGCTGAGGGACAGCGTCCAGGCCCAGAGTTCAGGCCCCACGACCGAACCCTCCCCCCCCAAAAAAAGGTGAAAGCAGGTACAGGTCCCTGAGCCAGGAGGGAGCCTGGGCTCACTAGCTTCATGGGGCTGCAGCCTGTGAGGCAGCCTGGCTTCCCAGGGGCACCTGAGGGTGAGGCCAGCCCTGGCATGGTAGAAATGGCTGCTCCAGAGTCCAAAGGCAGCTGGCCACCTGAGGGATAGGGCCTGAGGCCAGGCCCTGTCCCCCTGTCCTCTGTAGGGATCAAAAGCTTGATGCTGCCCTGCATGCTGGTTGTTTCTTTTCTACTATTTTCTTCCTTTGCCCCAGGTCACCTCCAGAAAGAGGAGAAATCTCCATCTGTGCAAAACCTCCAAGGAAGGACTTACACATTTGGGGACCTTCCATTAGGAACAATACTTCAGGGATGCTAGTGTTTCATGCCTATAACCCTAGCTGCTTAGAAATATGAGATCCACAGGATCACAGTTCAAAACCAACCCAGGCAGAAAAATCTATGAGACTCCATCTCCAAAATAACCAGCAAAATGCTGGGCATGGTTCAAGCAGCTGAATAAGCAAGCCAGGCAAGTACAGGTCTAGGGAGGGGGGAGAGGAGGATGGATTCAAACCCATGTATGAGCTATTGGAAAGGACAAAGTTCCTGCTGCTTCTTTTGGATCCAACTTACCCACGGGGCCTCTGAGTGCCAGGTGTCAAGCTGGCTTTATCTAAAGGGGAAAATTTTTTTGTAAAGGAAATTTGTCCATTTTAACTCAGATAACTAGCCACTCTTGTCTATTTTCTTTCCATTGTATTTTCTAAAGTTCGGTTACTCTTTCTGTGTGCAGTAGCTTATCCCTTTGGATGGTATTCATCAGAAAGGTGTAAGTTTAAAGCCAGCCCAAGGAAAGTTAAGTTTGAGACAAGATCTCAAACATAAAAGGTGTGAGTGGTCACAAGGCCCTGGGTTTAATTCCCAGTACTGAGGGTAAAGAAAAAAATGATGCATTACTTTTTTTCCAAGGATCACATCTAGGTATGTGAAATACAGAGGCACTCATGCAGTGATTGTTTACTAGAAATGCCTGAGTGGAATTCCTGTTGCCAGTGTCAACAGCGCATTGTTGAAAGAATAAGATTGAATTTTTTTATTTTATTTTTGTCGGTCATGGGGCCTGAACTCTGGGCCTGGGCGCTGTCCCTCAGCTCTTCAGCTCAAGGCTAGCGCTCTACCACTTGAGCCACAGTGCCACTTCCGGCTTTTTTCTGCTTATGTGGTGCTGATAAATCAAACCCTGGGCCTCATGCATGCAAGGCAAGCACGCTACCACTGAGCCACCTTCCCAGTCTCTGCTTTTGGTTTGTTTTTGTTGCCAGGCACTGGTGGCTTATACCCAGCTACTCAGGAGACTGAGCGCTAAGGATCTCTGTCCAGAACCAACTCAGGCAGGAAAGTCTGTAAGATTCTTATCTCCAAATCACCCCCAAAAAGCTAGAAGTGGAGGTGTAGCTCAAGTAGTAGAGTGCTAGCATTAAATGAAAAACCTAAGCATCCAGGCCCCAAGTTCAAGGCCCAGGATGGGCACCAAAAAAAAAAAATGGAAATGTTTCACACTTAGAAAGCACGTGGACAAGACCCAATTTGAATTTTATTCTGCTTTGTTCTTTCTCACCTTGCCTCAGCTGCCATCCTTGTTCACAGAAAGAATTTAATCCTCCAGATTCGATGAGTATGGCCTAATGTAGCCCCACAGGAGAAGCAGAGGAGGGTGGGCACTGGGTGGCATAGGGCACTGGGGCACACCGTGTACACTGGGTGGGGAGCGAAAGAGGCACAGCAGCTACACCAAAAGCTAGATAGAGAAACACGCCAGGAAAAGCCAACGAGGGGCAGAATTCCGGCTCTACGCCCAGCCACCAGGCTCAGAAAGACCTCATCACGTTGTGCCCCAGCTTTAGACTGTGAGAGGCGAAAGATCTGCCTTCCAGCTGCCCAGTTGGAAGTGCTTGGTCCACAGGGCTCTCAGCAGCCCCAACGGCCGTGGTGAATCTGGGTGTCAAACTGGGCAGGACGAAGGAGAACCTTAAGACCTGGTGAAGTGTGGTTTGGGCAGAGAGGGTTTCTAAGGAGGATGGGGTGTAAGTCTCAGCCAAGCAGAAGAGAGAGGCACATCATCTGTGTAGCAATCACAAACCATGCAAATAAAAATGCCTCCCTGTCCCCCACTCCTGCCTTGATCTTCTAAACTCCAGGCTTGCTGGCCTTTGGGCTCCAGGACAGGTACCTGAGCCTGTCCCCAGCCTTTCAGGTGTTCAGGGTTCTGAGGCCTTTACACTTGGACAGAGCCATGGGGAATCTCCAGTGGGCACAGGGCCTGTTGTGGAACTTCTTACCTGCTCTAGTCCTTAATGCATGCCTTATGTCACTATAGAAAAATCCTCCAGGGCTGGGAAGGTGGCTCAGTGGTGGAGCGCTTGCCTTGCATGCCTGAGGCCCTGAGTGCGATTCCTCAGCACCACATAAGCAAAAAGAAAAAAGCCAGAAGTGGCACTGTGGCTCAAGTGGTAGAGTGCTAGCCTTGAGCTGAAGAGCTGAGGGACAGCACCCAGGCCCAGAGTTCAAGCCCCACGACCGGACCCAAAAAAGAAAAGAAAAAGAAAAATCCTCCTAGCTCTGGTGGCTCACGCCTCTAATCCTAGCTCCTCAGGAGACTGAGATCTGAGAATCTTAGTTCAAAACCCACCGAAGCAGGAAAGTCTGTGAGACTCTCATCTCCAGTAAATTACCAATAAAGCCAGAGGTGATTCTGTGGCCCAAAGTGGTTGAGTGCTAGCTTTGAGCAAAAGAAGCCCAGGGACATTGTCCAGGCCCTAAGTTCAAGGCCCAGGACCCCGTATTGTTAGCTCATTTTCTCTGGAGTACCCTGGATAATGTACCCCTATATGACTAATTTTTTAGGCCTACTTTCCAACACATCAGACCCCACACCCTCCCCTGCTGCCCAACACTGAAGTTTATGACTCATGAGAGCAGGAATTCTGCTCAGCTTTGCTTACCGATTGATGTAAGCCAAGCACCTGGAAATAATGCCTGGCAGAGAAGTATGTGTTGAATGCGTGGAAGAATGTTTCTAAAGCATGGTGTGTTAGTTACCTATTGTGCTGAAAACATCTCCAGCTTGGCAGCTTAAGACCACACTCATTAGCCACCCAGTTTCTTTTTTTTTTGGGCCCGGTCGTGGGGCCTGAACTCTGGGCCTGGGCGCTGTCCCTCAGCTCTTCAGCTCAAGGCGAGCGCTCTACCACTTGAGCCACAGCGCCACTTCTGGCTTTTTTCTTTTTGCTTATGTGGTGCTGAAGAATCGAACCCAGGGCTTCATGCATGCAAGGCAAGCGCTCTACCACTGAGCCACCTTCCCAGCCCCTAGCCATCCAGTTTCTGAGGGTGAGGAGTCTGGATGGATTCAGTGAGTCTCCTGCCTCCCTGCTTCTCGCAGGGTGGAGTGTCACCCAGGGAAGGGGTGTCATTTGAAGGGTCAGCAGAAGCATTGTCTGTTCTAATATCCGTCTGTGAGTCTGGTTCCTGACACAGACCTCTGAATCTCTTGGGATTTCCTGGGTGGCAGGAGGGTCTTCTGTCCTAATGAGGCTCTGGGATGGGTGCTGGTCAGCAGCTTGGAAGCTTCCAGACATACTCCCTGTGGTCAGGAGAGAGGGGCTGAGACGGAGGCAGTAATCACAGCCTGTGAGGAAGCCTTTAAACACATGCCTGAC